CCGCCAGCTCTGGGTATGCACCGGCGGCCGTCTCGCCGCTGAGCATCACGCAGTCGGTACCGTCAATGACAGCATTGGCTACATCCGTTGCTTCAGCTCGGGTGGGGCGTGGAGACTTGATCATAGATTCCAGCATTTGTGTTGCAGTAACAACCGGTTTTCCAAGAATGTTGCACTTAAATATCATTACTTTTTGTGCATAGAAAATCTTCTCTATTGGAATTTCCATTCCCAAATCTCCTCGTGCCACCATGAACGCATCTGTGTTCCTTAAAATATCATCAAAATTTGCCACACCTTCCTGGTTCTCGACCTGCAAGTAATGCAATATGTCATAACAAGAAAGAAAAGTATCAAAATGGTCGATTAATTGACTCTTTGTAAAGAGTCATTTTAGTCACAGATTTCATGAAAGTGTCTTTTTAGTCCTCAAAATTCTTTGATGGGGGCTAAAATAACCATTCACAAGACTATTTCAGCACAAACTAAAAGAATCCTGAGACTAAATTAGCACTTTTATGGATTTACACCATGTAAATAGTTAAGAGACTATTTGGGAACTTTCCTCTAACAGCAAATGTCAAAATTTAATGATAAAATATTCTATAACAGACCTTGGACATCAAGATGATTTGCTTCGCATGGTCTCCAAGAAGTTCCCTGACCTCAACAAGGTCGGAACCTTTGCGAACGAAGGACAAGGCGATTATGTTAATCTTGTTTGGAATGCCCCACTGTAAGATGTCTTCCTTGTCTTTCTCTGTAAGTGTAGGAAGATCAACAATCACTCCGGGGAGGTTGACATTCTTTCGCTCCCCGAGAATGGCTGAGTTCTCGCAGCGGCAACAAACCAAGCCCTTCTCTACATCACAGGATAGCACAGTGAAGGTGATGGTACCATCGGAGCACAATATTACACCACCTGGCTTCAAGTCCTGAGCTAACTTTTTGTAGCTAACGGATATCATGTTTTCATCGCCTTTAATGCTGTAGTCAGTAGTAATGGTAATCTCCTGACCCCCGTGAAGATGAATAGGTTTTCCATCTTTCAAAAATCCAGTTCTAATCTCTGGTCCCTGTAAAAGAAGGAAACTTTAGTCCCATATTCGATTGAAAGGAAGCAAAGGGAATTAATAAACTTTAGGCTTTCATCAACAATATGCAAATATCCCTTTGTTATTTTCTAAACAAAGCCTAAGAAAATCAGAAAAATGACGTTTTCGCATTCGTTGTCGTGTTATTGGTATATGTTATGGAAACAAATGATTATAGCTATGATTAACTATAATTACTTAATGAAATTAATTATAGTTAATAGTTATTATTTGCAAAAATAGAAAGGCTTAATTTTATTATTAAAGGTAGCGCAGCGAGTATAAAGTAGTTAGCATATATTCTCTTGCCGAAGAGGATTCCGAAACCACACAACAATTTAGAGATGATTTTTGAACTTGTGAACGATCATAGCTCTTACTGATCAATCTAGAACCGTAGCATGAACGAGAACAAGGATATAGTGGAAATGTGGAACAAGAAGGATAGACTTTGCGACGACAGCATATCAATGAGAATTTATTAGAAGAGCAGAGCTCGTCTTCTTCTATAAAGTAAAGTCTATATTTCTACTTAACTATATTAATCAGTATTGAAAAGTGTAGGTGTTCATGGGTGGCAGTAGCTTGGATTGGTAAAAATGTTTGAAAAATAAAATTTTTAGACAAGATTTCCATTTTATTCCTTTTAAAAAATGCTTTTAAAAATTAAGAAGATATCATTCTCTTCCTCAGCAAAAGGGGTAGAAATTAAATTTAAAATTAAAAGAAAAACAAAATCAAAATTTAAATTATGACTTGAATTTTAAACATTTTTATTGAAATTTATATTCGTGTTTATGTTATAATTTATATTAAATTAGCAAAATTGAATGTTATTAGTCTCTCTCTCTCTCTCTCTCTCTATATATATATATATTAATTAACTAAGTTTGTCATAGATTAAATTATTTATGAATTGAATTTATATATATATATATAAATTCAATTCATAAATAATTTAATCTATGACAAACTTAGTTAATTAATATATATATATAAGAAAAACTCCACCGTGGCAAAAGCCAAGGTGGCAAACTAGTTCATCTATTAAAAGGGCGATTTGGTCTCTTCATAAATTCGTTTAAAAAAATTAAGAAAAATAAAAAACAAGATGTTTTAAAATTTTGCCGCTTTGAAAACGAAAATTGAGGGGTGGGGGGGAGTTTGAATCCGATTCCCTTCCACATCATTAAGTTATGACTCGTAGCTCATTTCGCCCATACTTGATTGAATGAAAAACAACTGAAAAAATTGTGAAATTATCACAATCATCAAACCAGTAAAAACAAGTAGAGTTGCTGTTTTCATCGAATATTCAATCGCAAACAGAGATGGCGTATATTCGCTTAATCACGCAAAGCTTTTTAAGATCAAGTGCCGAAAACCGAAAAGTTTGGCATAATTTTCAGATCAAAAATATTTCTCCGCAACTCGATGATTTGTCCATAGAAAACAGATCAAGCACAGCGACGACAACCCTAGCCAAATTGAACGTTTAAGTCACTTGAAGATGAAATAAGGAACAGAACAAGCCTAATTGAACCAATCAACAATAGAGAAGAAGGCGGATCAGACGATATCTTGGATTTTCAGGGCAAATGAAGAAAGGGGAAGGAAGGCTACCTTGGTGTCGAGCATGACGGCACAAAGGATGCCGGTGTTTTCCATGGCTGTGCGGAGGTTTTGGAGGGTTTCATGGTGGTAGTCGTGGGATCCGTGGGAGAAATTGAATCGGGCGACGTTCATCCCGGCACGGAGGAGCTTTTCAAGCATCTCTACGGATCGAGAAGCCGGACCCAGAGTGCACACTATCTTCGTCTGCGGCCGCTGCCTCGCCGTTACCGATTCCATCACCAACTTTGCAACCGCGGCCATCGCTCCCTCCTTTCTTCTCCTTCTTCTTCGATGGAGCCTCTCACTGCTCTCCTCTCCTTTCTTCTCCCCCACTTCTTTATCGATCGATCTCGAATCTCTAGTGCTTTCAGAACAAAAAATGGTAATGGAAATCCACGAGTGATGGAAGTCAGGGGAGATCACGAATTTTATAGTGCGAAAGTGTACGGAAAAAGTGCTTGGTAAACAGGGGGAGACGACAAGAACTTCGCGTCGGTCGCCCGCTGGAACACATGAACGTAAATATGACATGCACGGAAAAATTAGTGGCATTTGTTTTTAGAAATTAATATGATGTATAAATGAAATTGTAAATATTTGTGTGTAAAATATATAAATAAATAAGAATTTAATGATATGTATTTGCATGCTCAAAAATGATATGCACGGATCTCGAGACAATAAAACGAGCTAAATAAATATGGCCTAGCGTATACTACTCATCGTCCCTTTGTAGCAATGTCACCACTGTAATTTTATTTTTGTCCTCATATCATCTACAAATATGAGGACTCTATCATGTATTAAGGGTTTTTGGTTTCTCTGTCATATATCACAAATCTTTAGTGAAATAAAATGGATCTAAGAGTAAGTCTCAGTGGCTAACCCACCCCCCTCCTCCGAAAGCACCGAAAATAATTGCTTAAGACCCGTAGAAAGGTGTGGCATGATTGTGGCTACAATCAAACCAAGCAAACGAGACACAAGCATTGTAAAACTTGCTATATAAAAAATGACCAACGATCTTTCTGAATATTTGTGTCATCAACTAGCACCGATATTCATCACAAGCAACTTTTGTAAGCAAATACTTATAGTTTTGTAAACGTAAAAGGTTGAACCGAGCGAAAACTTCACTTCTTTTTATACATGAAAACTTACAAATAGTTTCTTCATAAAGTGTCTTCTTACTAAAAACTTCTTTACAAATATTTATTCTAATTTGCAAATAAAAAAGGAGAAACACAAAGATGTACTCAAAGTGACACATCAAACTGATAGATGAGCCAGACCAGTTAACGGACAACACAGACCAAAAAGTCAATTCAAAGAAAAATAATTTGGAGTCGGCGAGATAGCCTAAAAGCTACTAGAACAGAGCGCAAAGAGCACCTAAATAGGAAGTATCATCAGTATTTCATGTGATCATATTTTTTGTTTTTGAATTTTTTTTTTCCTTAACACAGCTATTGCTATCAAACAGCAAAAATTGAGGACTTAATATGTATAGCCAAAGATGGTCTGCATAGATCTCAAGACAATCTCACGGTTTAGATGAAATATGACCCAACATAAGACGGAGGTCTGATTGGACAACCAAGGACCAAAACAAATGAAGGGTAAGAACTTGACTTCAACGTCTCGGATACAAATCAATTGCGGCATAAGCCAACTAGTCAAATACGCATGATTGGTCGTGATGCCAAGATCTTCTGGCCGGTCCCACGATCTACCCTCAATTTTAAGCATAAAAAACCTATGTCTATATACTCGACACGAATAAAGCTCTCAAGGTGATTCTCCGCCCAGTAGATACAAGTTCCACGAAGGGTGCTATGTAAATCACTCCAGTAGCAAGTCTCAACGACTACCCTCATGAAGGCAGCGACAAGATTCACTTAAAACCTGGCGAAAGGCGCGACTCGATCGAGCAAACGAGACACATGCATTGTAAGACTTACACGGGGTGATAAGTACATAAAAAATGACCAACAATCTTTTTCCATACATGAAATCTTACAAATAGCTTCCTTATAAAAGGTTTTCTTACCAAATACCTTCATTACAAAAAAATTGTTATACTTTACAAATTAAAAAAGAAGAAAAATAAAATTTTACAAGTGATAGATCAAACATATAAATGTGTCAAGCTAGTTGACCGACAACATAAACCAATGAGTTGATTCTAAGAAAAGTACTTTGAAGCATGTGAGATAGCCTAAAAGCTGCCAAAACAGAGCGCAAAGAGCACCTAAACAGGAAGTAACATAAGTAATTCATGTGATCATATTTTTTGTTTAAAAAAATTATGTGTCCTTATCACAATTATCACTATCAATGAGCAAGAAAATTGGAGAACCTAATATATACGCCAAAAAATGATCTACAAGAATCTTGAAAGAATCTAATGGTCCAGATAAAATATGACCCAACATATACTACTCCCCCTGTTTTAGCAAGGAGAGTAATATAATTTTACATTTGGTCTCCTATAATCTATAAATAGGAGTAACCTTTCAAATATTAGAGGATTTTGGTTCCCCCTTTGGTAACCCAAATCTTTAGTGAAATAAAATTGGTCTAAAAGCCTCAAGAACACCCCATTCGTCCCAACCGGACAAGTCTTCATCTCCCTCTCTTCATCTCTTTC